TTTGGGGTTTTGTTGCAGCTGCTTGCAACGACCGCAGGGGCAGCCGCAGTCGAAATTCGCCCAGCCACCCACTCATTACCACAAGCAGCTGCAGTGCAAGTATGCCTAATATTAATATGAACGAGGGGGGACGTGGGGGGTTTCCGGAATGCTGTTGGTGTTGAGGGGGGGAGAGGGGCCTGGTAGTTCCACCAAAAGGGCAAAGGGCAAATAATCCTTCACTCAAGCGATTGGCCAATTTGTGTGCCTGTGTTTATGTTGCTGCCCCACGAAGTTAATGAAGTGCCATGTGGTGAGCCCTCGTGCTTTTCCAAGAACCCCACGATTTGTTGCCTACTTTCGGGATCTGTGTCAATTTACAATTGAAATTGAAACAGACAATGCCAGTGTCAAAGTTCGCTCTCTCTTTCGTTTTTATGGAAAATTCACTGCATGGGGCAAGGGCGTAGGCAGGATTTTCACCAGTGGGGTAGATGATAAAAAAGATAATAGTTAAAAAAAAATTTATGATAAATTTAAAGTTTAAATGTATATGTTTTATTTCATTTGAACTTATTTAATAATATTAACAATAGTATAAGTAGAGTTTTTAAAAATTATAAATTACTAAAAATATTATAAATAAATGGTATTTAAAAAAAGTTCAAAGAGGCAAAGGGGGGCCCCCCTTCCCTTACCTAACTACGCCCTTGACTTGGGGCACGCTTGCCTTGAAAACAAAGTGGCACAAAAATGACATTACACAAAAGAGGATTTATTTAGTTTATTTGCAGCATATCAGCAGCCATAACTGTCAAGTGGATGTAGCTATTGTTTTTTTGTTTCCGTTGGTGTAGGCGTTGTTGTTGCCATTGTTGTTGTAGCAGGAGGAGGCGGGGGGAGGGGGGTTACATGACATGGTGGGCGGGGCATTTCATATGAGGGGTGCAAGATCTAGAGCGGCCATCATCATCAATCATTTTGATTTGCGCTAAAAACTATGCTATGCTTTGTTACAACAATGCTGCATTGGATAAACTCAACAACAGTACAACAACGTACAACAACAGTACAACAACGGCCACACAACTACACCAACACACTGGCAAATAATAATAAAACTATCTGTTTGTATGTACGTATATAGACCAAAGACGATAAACTACAGTAGCAACAACAAGAAGGGCAATTGCCAGACAGAATGACAACAACATTTCATGTCGACAAGTTGCGCTGCTGCCATTTCACTCTCTCTTTTTTAAGCCCTTTTTGCTGGCAGTATTTTCTGGTACTTTTTTCGTATTTTTCACTTTTTTTGCATAATAATATGGAGAGGTTGGGTTGTTTTTTGGGGGGAGTGGCACTATGCATGCATTAGGCGAACATTAATGGAGAACAAGTATTTTTACTGCTCGCTCGTAAAGCTGCTTGTCAAATATATTTTGTGCATACATATATCGCTGTGTAGTTTTTTGTTCCTGCTGCTGCTGCTCCTTCTTATTTCGCAGTCATCCTTCAGCGAAGGGAATATATATGAGAGACATAATGAAATTTTAATTAAGCTCAAGCAGCAAGCAGAATTAAAAGACGAAATGTGCGCCTTTTAATTCAATTTATAATTACACTCGGCAGCCGGTAGGTAGATCTATCTCCCTTTCTCCCTCTCTCTCCCTCTTACTTTTGCTCTATACCCATCTCTTTCGCATCGCATATAGATGTACATATACCCGTCTCTTTCGTCTCTTATTCGCATCGCTGCGAATCAATTAAAAAGACATTTGCGAAAATGTTGCCAAGGCAAATTGAAACTGAAACGACAACACGAATGCTTAAATGAGCGAATAAACGAAGATGCGACTGAGATGGTAAGAAAGAGATGGGTAGAGTGGGGGGGCGAAAGAGACAGGTAGTGCGAGGAGGGATGCGAATGAATGCATAAATGAATGCCACATTGCACGAATGAATGATGATGGTGATGATGATGGCGGTACAAGTGTGAATCCGACTGTGCGACTCAAGACGTTGTCCCCGGACCTCCTCCTCCACCTCCTCCTCCATTTAAAGGACCCAGGAACCAGAGCCCAGGACCTCCCATTTGGCCAATCCCGTAGCGTCCACCATTAATGTAATTCAATAACCTTCATCTGGCCAGTTGGTCATGATGATTGTTGATTGTTTTTCATGCGACGCCAGAGCGCCTCGAAATTCGCAATTAATAATTGGCAGTGCGAAATGTGCGATGTCTTGAATGCGATGCGATAAATATGCAGTTAATGGTTAAACAGCTATGTGGGGTATACGTATTGCAGGTCTTAAGATTGTGGTACAAGAGTTTCTTGAAGACACACGTAAGTTTACGTTGAAAAAGTTCCTAAAACTCTTAAATTTTCTAGAAAAAAAGCTTAAGAAATAATATTTGTATAATATTTTTTCAACATATTCAAAAATTGATTAATATAAAAATATTATATCTTTAGAGGTACTTAAAAACAAGCGAGATTAAAAGCAAATTCCAGCAACTGGTTGATTTTTTAAGAACATTATTCTACAATGGTAACAGATATATTACCATTGGCTTGTTAGAACTTCATAATCTGGTTATTGGCCAAAATCCAGCAGTGGCAAATAAAAAATCCGCTCAGATGACAATTGTCGCATAGCTGCATCTGCTTCCAACCCATCCATATGTGCCATTTGTGAACATAATCCCCAATGCCACATTGCAGCACCGCCTTGCACAGCTCCCCTGGCAAACAGACATAAATCAAAAACTCAACGAAAACCTTCAAAACGTTCAATATGAAAACGCCTTGGATTGTGGCCCCCAGCCATTTCTCATTTTTCACTTCTCAAAGAGATCCGATTCCTATTCCTATTCCGATTCCGATCCCCACTCCCAATTGCACTAATCTCATGCCATGCAGCTGTCCCCCCCCCCTCCCCCCTTTTTCGCTTTCGCTGGAAACTTTCTAATAATTTCTATTTGAAAGCCCGGCCAAAAGTTGTGCGTGGTGTGCAAAACTGTCATAATTCATAAGTCGCCTCAAAACCCCGAACCCGAACCCGAACCCAAACCCAAGCCAGAAACTGAAACTGAAACTGAAGCCAAGGGGAATCAGAATGGGAATGGGAATATCAGAATGGTTAGAGTGAAGCTCCGGCTGTCTGTGTATAATTACATGGTTCAACTGTCACGGCGGAAAACAAATAAATGAGTTTCGCTTGCAAAACTTTGTTCTTTGTGCAACTTCTGGGAATCGATCCGCAAATATCGGAGTGTACCCGAATGCAGTGCCATCGTATACCGACCACCAGCACCACTACCAACACCACCCCATCGATACCATTAAATCGAACTGTCTGACCCACTCATCAATCAATCGATTGGGCGGCAAGCCATGTAAATTCTAAAGCGAATCAATATAAATGCCACCTGGCTGCTTGGCATTCAAAAATTAATTCAGATTGCAATTCCTTTGAATTATACGCATCAGCAAACTATGATTTCTCATGAAATATTAATGCCGGCATGCGACATTTGATATTTGGCGATGTGCGCTTTTGTTTTTGTGCCCCATCGCCATTGCCCCATCGAATTGTGCACGGAGAAAAAAGAATGATATAAAAACCAAGGAAATTTTTAAGTATAATTTTCCATTTCCTAAAAATATTTTAACCCTATTGTTTCTTAAAATAATTGGGTAGAAATGTTGTAAAAATTTTAGCTATGGGTTCAATTCCATATGGTGAGCTTGAATTTTTTCTATTTCTTATTACCATAAAATATTTTTAGCAATAACCTAAGTTTTATAAAACAATGAAATATCTTTAAAAATAACAAACAAAATAATATTATTATAGTTAATTATCATAGAACAATGTATTTCAAAAGTAGAATAATTTCTGAAATGTCAGTCCCATTCTATGTTTTTTTCTCTGAGTGTACCCAGAGAGCCGTGGCCAACTTCGTTATCATTGTCAACATGCCGTTGAGTGCCGATTCTCGAGACCCGAAACCCAAACCTCGAGTCCCGACTCTCGATTCTCCAATCCCGTGTCCTTCGTCCTCGCCTCCGAATAATCAGAGCAATTTCAAAGTTGCGTCTGTCGGAAAGGCACAAAATGTGGCCTCATCCACGAGTGCCCCTCTCTTATTTCTGCACCGCCCCTCGACTTCGACTGGTGGCTCGCATTTTTTTGGTGGCTTTTTTGTTGGCACTTCCTTTTTGACACCGGCGTTCCGCTACGTTTCACGGCTGCCATTTCACCTGGCTTCACGTCCCACCTCGACCTCGTGTCTATCAATGCCGGGCCGATTGTCCTGGCTGCCGCTTGTCAGCCGGAAAATGTGAATTTATCACACGAGCACGTACGCGTATTCCCCGTTGTCCTTTTTTGCGAGGCGGGCCATCCGGATGAGTGGGTGTCCTGACCCACCCACCACCTTCCATTCGCTTCCCATTCGCTTCCCATTCGTTCAGATTAGTTAATATTCGCATTTGAATATGAGCAGGCGCGCTTATCTGGACCGGAGCACACGGACTTCCTACCGGGATCAGCGTGAAGCGTAAATGCGCCTCTCTACGCGCTTCTCAAAACGTCCAGCTAAGTGGGCGAAAATCGCAGCAACAGCGGCAACAGCAGCGTCGCTGAATGTCTTAATTGCATCCTGCTGCTGGCAAATTCACTTCTGCCACAATTAAGAGCCAATTTCTGTGCAAGGAGCCCCAAGGGGGTTTTCTAATCAGCGCGACAGGAGGTTGTAGCGGTTGTCGGCCGACAGCGCCTGCATTCGCTTTTTCGGCATCGCATCTCTCCTTTGTTTCCGCAGCACAGCCACCAAAAAGGCAGACAACAGAGCTCAAAAAGGGCAAAAACGTAGGAATCTGCAACTGAAGGATAAAGGCTGCTGGAAATGGAGGGTAAAAAGTTCTAGGCAGTGAAAAAAATTTTGAAATTGTGTAATATTTATGCTATTACTCTTGGTATCGGCTTAAGGGACACTTTTACTTATTTACAGATATATTAAAATATTTACTACACATATACCGACAATTTGGTGGATTCTTTCGCTATGTGTGGTGGCACATTCGACGTTCGCCGTCAGGAAACTCCTGTCAGCTGCCTTCTAATGTGGTTTTCTAATGAAATATTCAGCGAAAAACGGGGGAGTGCCTCTGGTTGAGAGGGTTGCTCGATGTGATTTTGGTGGTGATCAGCAGGGGATCTCCCTCCTCGGCAAAGTGATTTGGATTTGGAGCACTTTGGCGGTAGAAATGGGGTGGCAAGCTTTTTGGGCTGGCCAAGGAAATGGGCGTTACGTTTCTGGCGGGGATCTGCTGGCATTCCTGGACCTCTATTGGCAACTGATTCCTTCGAATGGGCACCGGGACCCAAATGTGGCTACGTGTCTGCAGGACATCCTGCCAGTGCATCCGATTGGCCCGGCATATGTGACCTATGCTGGTGTCATACCTTAGGGCCAGTCGGGTCATCGTGTCCTCTGGGGAGATGGGATGCCTAAGCCAGCAGCACTCCGATCCCCCGTGTCGATAGTTTTGGATATTGGGACCCCGATCAGCCGCCTGACTACTCATGAGTTATGTATATATATGAAAAAAGGGGTAACGAATCGATAAACCTGTTTGTTTTTTTGGATTTCTCTGAGGACTACGGCAGGGCCAAGCAGTCTTCATTATATTCGCATACTCGGCTGGATATTCGCACCTCCTTTGATGCCGATCATCTGTGTCAACGAATGTCTGTCTGCGAGCCTCCGATTCGCGGTTTATGCAAATTACTTGGCATACATTTCGGCCGCCAGTGCGTCGTAATCAACTCATGGGCCATCGCTGCGTATACGTAATCAACTCAGGCGGCGCGTCGTGTGTGAGCGCATAATACGCCCCGTTGGCAGGGATGGCAAAAGAGATGTGAGGACTCCGTCCGGGTCAGCCGCAAAGGTGTCGTCATCCGAGCACCGGGGTTTTTCCGCCATTTTTCCCCGTATTTTCTGGTCCTGCTTAAGCCGCCTGCTTATAATCCCTTCTGCGGCAGCCGTGTTTCACGCAATTCCTGCAGGGATAATGCCGGGTTCTCAGCGAAAATTGGGAGTAATTTGCGGATTAGTCATGAACTTGGTTAATTCACCCTCCAAATCGCTGTTGAGTGGACCGCAGCTGAGTTACTTACGCTGGGTTGTAAAATAAGTGCTATACCACCTACTAACACATTAGGGATATTAAAGATTGCCGAGTATTATACTCTTATATTATTAAAGATTTATTATAATGATTTAATTTAACGTAAGGATATTTATATTAATATTTTAACATTTTTTCCCACAGTAACCCTTCTAGAACTAGTAAGCTGCTGGAAAGTAAATTCACCCCTGGTTAAACCTGTCTTCACTTCCGCATCCAATTGGATTTGTGTTGTTTGCATTAGAAGAAACCCAATTTAATTTTGCCGAGCCGCCTACGCATAAAAAAAAAACTAACCCCTTGTATTCTACTTATGGTAAATCCCCTAGATTCCGGCCATATTCATTCGTTTTGCCAATGGCTTCATTTGCCTGCCGTAAAATATGCAAAATTGATATGAATGACAAAAGCGAGCAGAAAAGGATTCTCCCCCATCGACTGACTGGGCTTCAAAGTATCGGATTGCGTGCCGGGGTAATCTAGTGTGAAGTCGTTTGACTAGATGAATTTAATACGGGTTTAAACGATGCTTCGTCTTTTTTCCCCCTACCATAATATTTTTTTAATATTATTGAAAAAATCACTTAAAGGATTTCTTTATAGGGACGTTAACGTTATGAGAGCGTTAAAAAATTATGTTTGAGATAAGAAGCATAATGAACGTATAAAGTATACCAGGAATTTAATAAGTTGATTAAAAAGTAGTAGGACACTGAAAAAAATGGAAAAGTAAAAATAAATATTTGCATATTGAATTCGCATTTTTATTTATTTATTTTATATACATAAAATCTTTGTATTTAATATAAAATTCAACAAGAAAAAGAATTTTATATTTTAATTAGGTAAATTAAAATCTGTAAATTGGTAGATAGAAATATTACATTTGACCGTATACAACATAAAAAAACGGTTAAAGATAAGAATAAATATATAGATATTTAAATTGAATTTGAAATCTTTGGATTCAATATATTCTTCTAAGAGTGTTAATTTTCTTAGTTTTAAAAGGAACATTTTCTTTCAATTTCAGGGTCGTATGTGCTTTCGCCTAGATGTCAAAACCCAATTGGTCGAAAAACCCATACGTTTTCCTTGAGTGTAATTAAATTACTGAAGAATGTGGAAATAACATTGTTAGCCTAAGTAAATACCACATTCTTGCTGCACAACAAATACTCAAATGACACAGTTTGGAGACCATAAGTTTGCCACCCAGAAAACAGGCAAGTAACCTCGAGATGGCCGACAGAGGTGGCGAGGTGGCGGGGGTCAAGGATCGGAAGGAACGCTATGCCACCGACAAGGAGATCCCCAGGTGGCGGAAGACCCGCTACTTCGTCGTCCTGATGCTCTTCACCGGCATGGCCAATGCCTATGTGATGCGGACGAACATGTCGGTGGCCATTGTGGCCATGGTCAATCACACGGCGATCTCGGATACGGACACCGACACGGTGGGTCAGTCGCTGGAGGACGGGGAGTTCGTGTGGAGCTACAAGCTGCAGGGCTACATCCTGTCCAGCTTCTTCTACGGCTATGTGATTACCCAGATACCCTTCGGCCTGATGATCAAGTACTTCGGTGCCCGGCACTTCCTTGGCTGGGGCATGATGATCAATTCGTTGGCCGCCTTCTTTGTCCCAATCTCGGCGAGATCGGGTGGTGCGGTGGGCTTGTGCGTGGTGCGATTCATTCAGGGTCTGGGCGAGGGACCCATTGTACCCTGTTCGCACTCCCTGCTGGCCCAGTGGGTTCCACCCGACGAGAGATCCCTGGCCGGAGCGGCAGTCTATGCCGGTGCCCAGTTCGGGACCATTGTCTCCATGCCCCTGAGTGGTCTGCTGGCCCACTATGGCTTCGATGGCGGCTGGCCATCCATATTCTATGTCTTCGGACTGCTCAGCACCATCTGGTGCATCCTCTTCATCTGGCTGGTGCAGGAGAGTCCGGCGGTGAGTACTCGCATCCGGGAGGCCGAAAGGCAACACATCATGGAGGCCATTTGGCAGCAGAATCAGCCTGCGGAGACGGGCAAGATACCCTTCCTGGGCATAGCCAAGTCACCGGCCTTCTATGCCATTCTGGTGGCCCATGCGGGTCAGAACTATGGCTATGAAACGCTGATGACCATGCTGCCCACCTACATGTATAGAGTCCTGGATGTGAATATCAAGTCCAATGGCTTGATATCCTCGCTGCCCTACCTGGCCATGTGGATCCTGGCCATTTTGTTTGGCATACTGGCTGACTGCCTCATCCGGCGGAACTGTTCCATCACAGTGATCCGCAAGTTGATGAACAGTTTGGGCCAGTATGGACCCGCCGTGGCCCTGATCTCCGTGGGCTTCGTCCACCACAGCCTGTGGCTCACCTGCCTGATCTTCATCGTCGGCATGGGCCTCAACGGAGCCATCTACTCCGGCTTCAAGATCAATCACTTGGATCTCTCCTCCCGCTTCGCCGGCTTCCTCATCTCCATCACCAATTGTGTGGCCAATCTGGTGGGTCTGCTGGCTCCCATGGTGGCCGGTCATGTGATCGACCAGAGGCCCTGCGTGGAAAACTGGCGGATTGTCTTTTTCATCGCCGCTGGTGTTTTCATTTTCACTGCCAGCTTTTACAATATATTTGCCAGTGGCAAGCCGCAGTGGTAAAATCGAAATTAATAAAGAAAAAAAAAAGAAGAAGGGTACGAGAAAGTCATATATAATAACCGAAAATAGAACAATCTGTTGCGGCAAAGGCCACAGACATAGAAACTGAATCTGAAAACCGAAACGGCGGCCATCAGGACATCAATCAAATGGCCGCATGTCCTTTGGCCTGGTCGGGCCATTTAATTTCGCATTTGTGCCATTTATTTTATGGCACATTTCTGGGCCTAATTAGCAGGCATCCGATGGCCACTTGTCCTCGTCATGGTTTTGGCCAAAACATTCGCCAACACCCGAAAATTGTCAGGCCATCAACAGGGCGTTTGTAAATTAACAATGATTTATTCGAACTCGTCTGCCGGCCGAATCTAACATTTTTGGCCATGTCCAGCGAGAACATTCAATGTTTTACTATATATACATTTTTTGTTACATCTCTCATGCTTTCATTTCATTTATTTGACACATTTTGAAATAACATGTAGTTTAGTTATAAAGTTGTGTTCAGTAATGATTGAAAGAGGAAGCCTAAGTGGTTAACTATTTTTTGTGGCTATTTTGTAAATGCAAACGCCAGTTTAAGAAGTAACTTAGATACTTTAAATACCCCTCTACAATGTCAATATTTTTTAAAGAAATTTAGCGAGCTTAGTATCTTGTTTTACCATCTGTAACATGTAAGTGCAGATGTTTTGTTCAGCCATGAAGTTTACACGAAGGTAACTACCTGTGTCCAATGAATTTAGATCGAACTGCCATTTATCGGGGATTTGTTTGGCATCACCTTCGATTTCCGTGGACCTTTAAACTCAGCCAGTTAATCTCTGACTTGTAATCCATTAAGCTTTTCAATTTCGCTACCTAAAAAGGGAGGTTACCCTCCCCGCGAAAATCATGTTAAACGTGGGCGCCGATGTCTCCATCATTCGTTGGCCAAAAAGGAAAGCGTTTCGGCAAGTTTAAGCAGCTTAAGTTTCATTGCAACAATAATTTGCGTGCGGGACTTTGGGAGATACGTTGGCATATATACATAGATACTTACATAGATGCACAGGTGTGTCCGCCCACAGATACTCACCTGTACGCCCACAGACACCTGGCCACAAAATGTTCGCCACTCTTGTAATAACCAGCGAGCACAAGGACACCAAGTAGGTGGTTGGGATGGATGGGTTAGGATGGGTTGGATGGGTTGGATTGGGTGGTTGCGAGGGGGGTTTCCAGCTCCTGACTGCTGGCAAAGTTGGCCAGAATGTTAACTTGTCTGCACGTTTCGTTTTGTCGCCAGTGAAGCGACTAGATAGGGCGGGACATGTAATTGGGTTTTCACTTGATTCAACATGCGCCAAAATGTCAAAGTGCACCGCAAGTTTCCTCATCCGCACCCCCACCCCCACCGCCGTCTATTTCCCAGCTGCAACTCCTGTTTTGGATTCGGATTGGGACTCGGATTCGGTTTCGGGAATCGCAATCGCAATCGGATTCCCCCACTCAGGTGACTCAGGTGAAAAGCGGCAACACGGCACAAAGCTATTGCCAAAGCTAAAGCCCAGGAATTGTGATCTCGGGCGATTCACGTCACTTGTGTTTATTCGCAGCTCACTTGAAGAAATCCCAGCGGAGAAGGTGGAATTCAAAACTGGACTTGCCCAGACGAAACTGATATCCCAATTGGTTCCCACAGTGGTTCAAACAGTCCCAGCTAGATTGTTATTTGAATATATATAACAAAGGACAGATAAACTGCTTACTTTCCAATGATTTTTTATTTAATATTG